TGCTGCGATACTCTTCTACGATTTAAAAAAAAAACCGACTCAGTCTTGCAACCTTTAAGTGCCGAGCGAAGCGTGCAATAATAAAACAGTACTGTCAATCAAGCTAGGGTTACGGAAATTAGCCAATTGCAGGATAACAGATGAAATGTACCTCAGCGTAATTACTGGTCCGATTTTTGTTGGTTCATTAACCACTATATATATAAGCATCAAGTTTGCGCGCAGAACATCGCAAATGACATTGTAACTGACCCTTTTCGCAAACCACGGCAAAGCAGAGCTTGCGCAGAACAGTCGCCGGGCGATCCTTGACGTACAGAGTGTCAGTGTCATCCATTCCCTGCGCTGAGTCAAGCCACATGAATACATCATCCTGTTTGACAGGAGCTCGCATGCTGACATTTCCAGCAGTAATCCGACCGCTGGCGTTCGGCTTACCTAAAGATTTATGCAAAGCTGGAAAAATTAAGAATTATTAATGTAAAGCAATGCATACAACCACATTTTATGCTACTTTTGCCGTTTTAGCAAAGCGGAAAATCCCAGGTATACAGTAAGCTGATAAAGTTAACGTCCACACCACAGGATTTCTTAAAGAGGAAATAGTAATAGGTCACATTATCACTCAGGTAAAGGCAACGCAAGCATGGAGAAAATGAACAATGCGCATGTCATCTGCTATTCGTTCAACTAAACGTACAATGTCTGGCTTGATAATTCAGTCCCCAGCTTCCCATTGCAATGGCGGCTACAATATTAAGGATCACCAGGAAACAACAGGCCCAGGCACAGCATTTAGCGGCACAGGAACGTTTTCGTGCGTTAGATCGTACGTACCGAGTTATCGCAACCTGCAAAAAATTTGGATCACTGTTCTCTTGGTTCCTCCGATTCCCAAATATGCTGCGGGCTTTTCGGTGTCCACTTTCCTGCAGTTTGGAAGCGAGGTTTTTAATCGCATTCCATATAGCGCCACCTTCATGCGCATCTTCTGATTTCGGCTTTTGTCGTGTGACACTGTTAATTGCTAAAGAAGGCATTCCTGTATCCCATATCAAACACGACGGAAGCTGCTTTCCTGCTAAACCTGATAATAATTATCTCAACCATGTAGAAGATACTCCAAACAGTGGAACGGCTCGGCTGTTCCAGCGATGCCGACACCGGTTGAGCGACAGCGTTACGTTCTCATTGCGGAATGATCGATAGCACTCATGGTGTGCCGCAGGAAATTCCGAATCCCTTTGCAGCTGTCGATATTCAAACAAATGTATGAAACGTGCTCTGGTTGTAGATTTTGCTGCGTTCGCTATATTTTTGTAACGTGAGAATCGATTTCCTCCACTACAGATCCGATTTTCCCTAGAAGGATCATGCTTTTTTGAAGTTTTTTCTGATGCGAAGTATTTGTGATCGCGCAAATGTCCTTGTTCAGGCCAAAGCAACGAAGCTATAATTCCGGACGTGTTGCTATGATCTTACTTTAGTTTCTTTTTGCAACCCTAGCGAGCTACCACGGGTAGCGTATCGAAGTATTCAGGGGCACTGTGCAGCAAAACACATTCACAGCTAGTAAGTAAATGTTTGCAAAGCAAGTAGTGGGTCTGAGCGCTTAAGCCCTTGTTTCCGCAATAGCTAATAATAAAACGAAGCATGTCGCTTTTTTATTCCTGCATAGTACAATTCGCTGCTTCTGTATGTATAAGTGGTGTTGATGCCCACTGCTTTGGTTCCGCGGTTCGCGAGCTGTTTTCACAGTACCCATTTGCAATGCATCTGAAAAATGACCAGGCTATTAGTAAAGATACTTTGTTTTGACGCTCAGTATCAAAACGACTAAGAACACTGAACAGTTATTATTAAGAATGTGCACGAACCTGATCTGGATCTTCCAGTTCTTTGAGCACTACAGGATGCTACATTTGCTGTGCGGTCAAACGAAGAATTTTTCGCTGGATCGACGCGAGCAATGGGTCTGATTTGCGCTATAACGTTTGCTTTGAGCCTTCTACTCGCTTCCAAAGCTGTTGTTGATAATCACTTCGAAGCATGAAATAAATAACCTAAACAAAGTCAAGCACAATTCCTGCATTTCCTTTTCGCCTGTTTACAGCTTCTACCGCAAAAGCAAATACCTACCGATATTGTTCTATGCTCACTCGACGCGAGCAAACTTCGAAGACTCAATGTGATGCATTTTACGCATTAAAAGCTGTTCTGAGAAAACGTTGAAAAGCCGGTTCTATAATGGACGGCTTTATTTTCAAAAGTTTTTTACTGATCTTACGGTTTGCCGGAAACAAATTATAATATCCCAACTTGTTGCGAAAGCCTAAGTATAGGACATACCGAAATCGAAGCAAAGCCAGCGAGTCCCACGACGCGCAACGTTAGCTGTAGAAACTGCTCTGATAACAACCGTGGAATTAAAAACGCGATGACGGGTCCCGGCAGAATGCAGCTGCTATAGGAGACGAAGGCGGCAAAAAAGATGTACACGCTCTGATATCGCCGTCGTTGTCGGTTTATTCTCCGGACATCGTCATCCAGTGGCGCATCGATTCCACATCGGCGCCACACAATCACCAGGAAAACACTCTGATAGCAAAGACACGACCCTGCTATGGGTACGACGAAGGGGACAATCGTATACAATCCGGACCACACCGGATTCTTGTAGATAATATTACAGGATCACCACACCGTCAGACGCTTTACAACGCCCGCTAACTGTGCCATCTGCATCCCAGCCAGTGTCAAACCAATCAACGCCGGAAGAATGCTCATTGTATACAAAACGGATTTCGTCGTCCATGTTTTATACAAATGGGGATAACAGATGGTAATGAAGCGGTTAACAGCAATCATACAATCGGCCCAATCGATCCACGTGGTCAAACACAAGAAGATGCAAAACGCCCAAGGACAGAATCGATCGCTGATGGGTCGGTTGAACGGTGTCCCCTCGCTGACTGTCGCCATCAACGGAACGCCCAGTGCACACTGAAAGGTTATGGCAACAAGGAGGCTGAACAGAAGCGCTTTGGATTTGGAGCGTATTCGTGAAGTGAGGACGCATATTATGAGGAGTCCACTGGATAATGTCCCGATTATGACGAAGAACATCATGAAAATGTACCATATTTGGATCTGCACACGGTATTGTACCCAGACTGGGCTTGCGATGACGGACGTGTTGTTGGCTGCCTCGATCATATTAATTTTTGATAAATATTTCGCTGATTGTTTGGTGCGGATTAAACGCACGACGAATGCATGAATGAATTAACGAAAAGGACTGGACTTTTCATGCTGTACAAGTATGCCAGTGCACATGAACCGGTTGCATTGTACTCGTATTATAGCCATAAACTTCATCTGTAGCGGCATCCCGTCGGCTTACAGCACTACAGCGTACTATACGGTACTTGAGTCTAGCGGCATTTGCTTACATGTACCGTATGTATGTACATGACAGACGCACATGCATCCTATGAATAGCCGGCACTAGCTTAACATCCTCGCGTAACCGGAAATTAAGACAGTCGGTCGATTACGAGCTAGACGTCTCGTTCATTCCAGCGCAGGACCTAGCACTCCAGTTTACTCCAATTTTTAAGATTGTTGTTAGTCCAAGACAGCAGTCTCACACTGTAATGACTGTATGGAGAGTATACTAGAGCAGCAATGGCTTCGCAGTCTACGGTTACGTTCTTGGACAATTATAAACCACTCCTGGTTTTTGGCATACATATTCCAGGTGTTGTTTGGAACAGCTACAATTGTCACCGACATTATTAGTAAGTTCAGCGGCATTTTTTTCTCTGGGGGTTTAAAATTTGCTTAACAGATTTCAGTTTAAAAATGCTTTACAGATTTCAGCATCAGTGCAAGTAGTTACGCATTGCGCATCAGTCTCGCTTCCGGATTTTATGCTGGTATTTTCTGCATCCTCACGGGATCCTTCGGGATCGCTGCTGGTCGACGCTTACTCCGCGGACAATCACCACGTTATCGCCGATGTCTTCTTGTCATCACAATGGTCATGAGCATCTTGTCGACTATCTTGGCAACATGCTTAGTCGTAGTTCTAGGAATCCTTCTGATCGGTTATACTGGAATTAATTAGTATAACGTGGATATTTGTAATAACTCTCGTGCTAATTACGACCACATTAATGCGGAAGCTTGTCTCGCCATTAGGAATTCCGGCCCAGTCGTTATCGGTACCCTCCTGGGACTGCACAGTGTTACTTGGATTTGCAGTTTAGGACAGTCGATTACCGCGGGAATCAATTTATGCAAAATGCCAATAAGCAGGAAATTCCCAGAAACGGTGTATCTGCAAGTGGAGCCTGGCTTCATTGTCAGCAATGCAAAATCTACGCCGCTTGATCTCGCTCCTGTGCAGTGACAGCTTATTCCGGGTGCAATCCGGATAGAAACACAAATTGCATGGATAGTCATCAGTCAAACTGTGGTGCGCTTGGAATGGAACAGTGCGCGTTAACCATCATATCGATCTACATAAGCACATGATGGAAAGATATTATTATACGCAGCAATGAATCGCATACGGTCACAAAATTCATTGATTCTGGGGTTGTTCTATGGAAACTTGAAATTTAAAGAAGTGGCGGCAAAGGTCCAACCAACTAAGTGGTTGCGGTCTGATCTGCGCTTTTATGCGGAACAACAAGATTTGTCATTTGTGGGATTATTTTGAAATAATTTTTCTAAACGCGAGTGCATTCCGCCAACCCGATATTGAACCGATGCCCAAATTGCCGTTGTTCCAGACTGGGGTCCGACACGTCTTTTCAGGACAAATATTCTTTTCCTTACTCTTATAGCAAGCACTCTCTGTATGTTTCTAAACTTTCTCCGAAGCGTCACCGGCATTTTGTGTCTAATAGATCTTCGGGTGTAAATAGTGCATTTCTCTGATATAATTTGAAATACGAGCTTTCAAGTAATGTTTTTCCCGGCATCTGGAACTTGAGACATCATTATTTCTTTTTGTACTTCCTACCTTAATTTTCACAGTGCTGACCCGTTTCGGCCGCAAAAAAAAACATGTATTCGGAACATACTTTATAGTTAACTAATATGGATAGGTTCTTCTCGTGACGTTATGCAGTGAAGATGATATGACGAAAGGCACACCTGTTCTATCGTTAAGGTCAAGTATTTATCGTCCGATGCATCCTGTTGCCGGCCGCGGTCAGTTCTCTCCGATACTAGTGCAGTTTTCTTGCGCATTGATGGACCACTGAGACCGACCATGATCAATCGCAGTCCACCGGGATGAACATTTCGAATTTCTCCTTTGGTTCACTTTCCCATAAATCCGGGACGATCTCATACATCGCTCCCTGCCTCCCAGGTTCCAGTAGACGTGGATTGGCTGCGATAAACGACCGGAACCATGCGAATTCGCATCCGCAGTGCAATTTCCACAAATACGCTTTATCACGCGTTAATCCGTTCCAATCGTGATACCGCAGATAATCTAATGACAACATGCGCAGATATTCTAAATCCTGAAAACTGTTGACTTCCAGTGCACTGATGGTCACGCTGTCGAATCGGATCACGCGGATTTCCGGCGACTTCGAGAAATCATTGCGCCGAATGTCCAGATTGTGGCAGTTAAAGAGCTTGAAATCCACGACTTTGGACATCTCCAACTGGGCCAGTTTGCCGGTGATCCGTGTGTCTTCGCATAAACGGAGATCTACGAGGACAATCTGCTTTCTGATAGGAACTAACACATCCGTCCACAAGTAAGGTCGATCGTGAAGGCGGACGCGGATTGGTCGGATGGGCTGACGGGCCATCTCTGTGGTCATGTTTTTCAGAATGTCCTGTGTGACTTCATCGTAGCAACGAAGGACGAGCCCGCGAAATCCGGTGCAATTGCGATAGTTGTGCGAACCCCAACACTTGGTGTTACCGTCCACCCACCGGTACTGAGTGCGACATTCGTCAACGGACAGAAACTGGTTGGAGAAGCCGGATAAATAGACCCGCGGACTGTATGAATTCCCTGCAAAACAAATGCTGGAAATCGACGGGAACCACGATATTCTCGACAAATCATGGAATATTTCTGGGATGTATTTTCCGCATATTGCGACATGCTTATGAATAAAATATATAAATTTTAAAGAAAACCCTTAATATTTGACCGCTTGTGCTACGTATTGTCACTATATTTCGACCCATTTAATAGTTAAAGTAATACGATTATTATTGTGTCTGCAGCATGCGCGTGTAAATTTGTGAAATTTCTGGATATTGCCAAAACCTACACATACCAGCCAAAGTCCTCTTGCTGAATAAGGCGACACAAAGAAGCAGGAACAGAGACGTATGCCTCATTTTTACGATGGTAAGGTGTGTCGAGTGGGGACACGGAAACTGGTTTGGAAGGATACGCTAACAAAATATTTTTGTTACTATTCAAGGTGGTGCGCTGTTAAGCGCTTGTCTCAAAACTTAAACGGTTTTATACACTCTCGCTGCATTATTATATACACCTGACGCTTTTTTTCCAAGCAGGTTAGGTTACAAAAAAAGATTTACCAACAGATAAAACATGCTTAGGCTGAGATGCAACGATAATTCAACAGATTATACGAGCGTCGACGGTACCGCACCGCAGCTACGGTGCAGTACAACTGGTATTCGTATGGGGTTTATTTTCACTCATCTACACAACTACTGTATAGTAATTAATTTTACACGTAGAGACTTTGGCGTAGCCGTCTAAGTACGGAGATGCTTATATAATGTTATGGTGGTAACGAAACCGTAACTGGTTTTTACCAGACACCAGTCGTTGTATCGACAGCCTTAGAAGAGGACTAGCGCCGCACTTCACCATAATAAGGGTAATCAATCCTATGAGAATTATCTCACTGATGTTTTGCCTGAAGTGGGGCACAACGCTCCGTTGCGCGCCCGTGAAAGATAACGCGAGTTAGTCACCACAACATTCTCAAGCCGAAAGCTAACGGCTGCGCTTATTGGTCCGCTACGTGATCCACAGATGAATTACAAAACGCAGCTTCGAAGCTGCGTTTTCTATTTCAAATACACATTCACCTCCGTGGTTCAGTATTGCCAACGGAGCTTTACACAGTGGCCACCCCTTACATGTTGAAGAGCTTTAAGTTTATTAGCTAGTTTACTAATAATTTAATGTGATTGAGTATTAATCTGCATTACTAATTTTATTGAGTATTTATCTGTATTACTAAAGGCTGCTTGACTATTAGTGACAGACTGATTGCTAATTTAGTAATTACTATAAGCTATTGATATTAGTAATTTATGATGTAGTTTAGATTGCGCTACTGCCTAATTCTTAATATTAATTAATTACGCTAATTAATTAGTTAAGTTACATTGAGTAAACGGCATTACATTAATCAGTTAAGTGATAAATTAATAATCACCCTCAAGCATTCGGATTAATGTGAGCATGTGACCCTGCAGTACAATTCATTTTCATGTATGCAGGCTTAAAGCACGATTCATTTAGCAGTATTGCGCTTTATCTGGTGATCCACAGCTTATTACTGGCCCAACGCATTCTCGTTTTTTGCTATATGTCATCCTTCGGTGACGCATACAGAATTCACATTTTATTTCGCGATATCGTACTTGAAAAGATGAGTGTAGGATTGATTAGACCTAATGTCTCTGCACAATCATAAACCGATTCTGGCTCTCGGCTTACTCCAGCTGTTGCTTGGAGTAGCAATGATTATCACGGATACCATCAGTAAGTTATAACAGCGTTACCAGTATTTCTGATTTTCTTAGCATTTTGTTAAAATGGGTCGGTGGATCACAGGCTTACAGCTTATCTGACTTGTGGAAATATTTCGCAGATTTCAGCATCACTGCAGTTGCGCACGCTACGGTCTACAGTCTCTTCGGCTCAGGTTTTTATGCCGGTGTTTTGTGCATCACAACGGGCACCTTCGGGATCGCCGCAGGTCGACATTTACCCAACGGACAATCACCGCATTCCCGCCAGTGCTTTCTTGTCACCGCAATGGTGATGAGCACCATATCGACTGTCCTGGCAACATTTTTAATTGGTGTTTTTGGAATTCTTCTCAGGGATATTATTGGAATCCATTTGGTCAATGCGAATACTTGTGACAGCTCCCATCTTGATTACGACCCCGTTCATGGAAACGCATGTGTGCTCTTAGGGGTGCTCGGCCAAACGTTTGTCGGTACCTTCTTGGGACTGCATAGTGTTATGTGGATTTGTGGCTTGGCTCAGTCGATTACGGCACGAATCAGTATATCGAAAATGCTCAGACGCAGCGAAACTCCACAAGTGGTGTACACACAATTGGCTTCTATTATACACAGGGTGCTTCAGGGCAACAAGTGTATTTCGTGGCGGACCAACCCGTGAGATCGGCTATTCCGCATGATCCATTGGCAAATCCAGTTCAGTCAGCTGTACAAAGGCCATGATAAATTTTGGCATACATATTAAATTTTGGTTAACGCTCTCTTGTCAATCCGATGCATTTTTTGACAAAAGAGGTACGATTACAGCACATACGCTACTTGTATATTGTATCATTCTTAAATCATCTGCAAGCACTCATGGCTAGATTCCGGTCAATATATAAAGATCGCTCTGGACTATCTAACGATATTCAGCAACATTCATTGTGGTTTAATCAGCATGCATACCGAATAGTGATTATTTGAGCAGCTGTAACATGGGCATTTTTCAGTGATCCAATAATGGTCACTATTTTAGCGGTTGTCTGGTTCGTTGTCCGCTGCCAAGGTACTGCTTCTCGTTGACCTATACAAGTAAGACTCATACGATACATTTGCACTATAAGTCAAATTCGGACATATCGTTTTAACAATGCTTTTTAAGGGAAACGGCCCGGTACATAGCGTCAAAAATGGGATACATACGCTAAAACTTTCGCTTGCGCGCTCTCCGAATCACTATTTTGCAATACTTTATGTCATTCTAAAGCTAGATGATTTGTATACATTGTTCTGAAAACCGCCGTTTGCGCGCGCAACATCCGGTTGCTGAGATATGGTGTATTAAAATGGGCGAAAAGTTTAAATGCATTGTTTTGTACCAAATGTCTGGTTATTATCCGACCTTCTTGAAACTTTGCTGTAAAAAGCACACGGCTGTAAAGCCGAAAGTGAATCAATTTCAAGTCCATACTCCATAGCACTTTCCCATAATTTTAAAATGAATTTTAAAATTTTTTAAATTCATTTTAAAATCGGAAAAAAATGCTATGGATCTGATATTGGTTCACTTTTAACTTCATGGCCATGTGCCTTTTATCTGTACAGCAAAGTTTCAAAAGGATCGGATAATAACCAGACTTTTGGTACACAACATTACATTTAATCTTTTCGCCCATTTTAACACACCATATCTCAGCAACCGGATGTTGCGCGCGCAAACGATTTTCAGAACAATGTATACAATCATTTAGCTTTAGAATGACATAAATTATTACAAAGTTTTATTGTATATATCCCATTTTTGACACTATGTACCGGGCCATTTTCCTTAAGAGGCGATAGCCTTGACCTTCGCACCAGGCGTTGTATATCGCTCCGTAATTATCGAATTTTAAGCTCACCCCGAAATAAGAGCTCCCTCGTGAAAGGATCCCCGCAACATTAGCCCCTCTAGAGTAAGGTCACCAAATAAAATTCCACTCGAACTAGGTGCCCATGGGCTCCAATTAAAAGTACGGAAAAATGTATACATACTTACATAATCTGGTACTGTATATTTGTACTCACAAATATAGCAATGTGACCAACCTCACTCAGGCATTAAAGATGGAATATGACCTAGCCACAATACAGAAGGTAAGAAATTCTTCACGCGCTTCCGCATTTCACACTTTGCTGCTTTTCACATCATTCCGCTGCGTATAAATGCTCCAAGCGCAACCAAATACGAGGAAATCTGTGTTTCTACTTAGCGTATGCCTGTGAGATTCATTACGACTGCATCGCAATAATTACTAATACAGAGTATGTACGCGTAATTGTCTCAACCATTTCAAATTTGGAAACTCACACTTGGATAGTCTACTTGGGACTCTTGCGGTATACGGACAAAGAGGTGCGTAATGCGTTTTTAGAAGCAACGTACAATCATAATCTCGACAAGCTATGTTCCAGAAAATGCAGAACATCATGTTTGTTTATTCTGGGCAAGAACGAGGTAGGTATGATTACGTGTGCAGAGTACATTCTGTACAGTGAGTATTACGAACCATGAACGACGCACGGTTAGTCAGCTGCACACGGTGTTTTTTGATGATACAGTTAATGCACTGAGTCATCGACATTGTTCCAGGAAGAACTTCTTCGGTTGTTTAGCGCCTGCAGCTGGCCATTGCTAACGTTTTTGCCGCACTTATGCAACACACACATGACAACGCGTGGAACAGTCAATTTTGCAGGTTAACTGCAGATGCTCTCCCGACAAATAACCAGAGTACGACATGGGGTTTTTACAGTGGAAAATTCTGCTGGGACTAGGTACGTCGCTACATTTTGGATTTTAACAAAACACACAAATTAGGATTATTCTACACTGTAATGACCGTGAAATAACGATGCGGCAACGGCTCTCTTCGCCAAATTTACTTTAGTTCTGAATGGGATGTGCCAAGTAATTCTCAGTTTTTTCGATAACCCCTTTCATGACGTATACTGTTCCTCTACCTTCAGTGAGCTTGGTTAATTGTGGAAAAACGCTCTTGGGCAGCTCAGCTGTCAGCGGAGTCACCTTCAACCAAGTAGTACGAAATTCTTGCATTGTGACTTGTATTACTGTATGTGTATTAAATTACAATAAAACATATCAAGATTCTTTGCAGAAGGGTGCAGCCATATTCTTGCCGTACTTTTCCGTTAACTGCAATGAGAATGTCACGTTCATCACTACCAAAGACAAATCTAAATGTGAACAGCAATGTCGCAATGACAGCAATTGCCGGTATGCTGTGTATGAAACCGAGAAAAACCGCAACTGTCCAAGTGCTTGATCCATGGACCATCAGATGGAATATCCCTAAATAACACCGAGTCCCTTCTTACTGCTATCCATTACAATAGAACCGAGCAAGCTTGTAAGCAGCTGAAAGGAGACATGTTTTCTCTAGCTTAACAGGCGAAACCGGCACGATGCGGTTGTGTACCGCATTCTTATGACTGCCGGCTGAAAGCGTATCACCGCATCGAGGACGCCATTTTAGTGGGCTTTGTTTACAAAAATTTTACCGCCTGTACCAGTGTGGAAGTGGATGGCCACGTTCTTCAGCAAACAAGAGGAGATCAAGTTTCGCTGGATTTTTGCTGGAAACTATGTAATTTCTTCCCGGCGTGCACTGCAGCCCAGTATACTTCTGGTACTCCGGCTGGGAGGATTCGTGTTTTCTGTATGATAGTCCGTCTCCGGCTAAAACGCTTAACCAAACAGCGCAG